CCCGCGGGTTGCGCGGCCGCGCCCGGCCGCGGCGCCGGCGGCGGCGCGCCCGGCCTGCCGGGGGCTGCGGGCTCTGCCGAGTGCCCGGCTGCCTCTGGAACGTGAAGGTCCGTGCTGGCGCCAAGGCATTGGATGCCCACAGCAACTTTGTCTGCAGCGAGCACTTGCGCGGGGCCGTCCGCGCCTTTCGCAAGCGCCACCACTTGCTGCTGCTGCTGCTGCTGCTGCTGCTGCTGCTGCTGCTGCTGCTGCTGCTCTCCCCCGCCCTCCACCTGCCTGGGACTCTGCGGCTGACCCCTGGTATGCTCGTCGCCCTCCCATCGCTCCTCACGCTGCTGCTGCTGCTGCTGCTGCTGCTGCTGCTGCCGCTGCTGCTGCTGCTGATTATGCTCCTGGCCATCGCTGCCATCTACCTCCTCACGGGCATGCTGCAGTTGCTGGGGCGACGCAACGGGCGCTGGGCTGGCGCCCCTGCTGCTGCTGATATTTTGGTGCAATGCAGCACCCTGACTGCAAGGAAGCGTCGCCGGCAACTCTGGCGGCGGCGAGGCCGCCAGGGCCGCGGGGCGGGCAGCAGTAAAGGTGCCCGGCAGCTGCGGGGCGAGATGGGGGTCGGTCGGCCGCTGAACATCTCGGAACTATGCTGTGCATCCGCGAGCCGCTTCAGTGCAAGTGCAACCGGCCCTGGACGCTGCCAGGCATCGTACGGAAGTCCAGGCACGCCGCTGCCTCAAGCGGAGCAAGCCGGCGGACCCCACCTGGTAGGGCCCCAGCTTGCTGCGAAACCGGCCGCAGAATATCCCCCCCTCCAGGGCCAGCCCGCCAGCGCGCCGCGCCTGGGGGGGCGCAGCTGCTGAGTCGCCGCCGACGCCCGCCGTCGGCGGCACGGCGAGCGGCGCCACTGCGCGGGTCGCGAGCGCGCGCGGGGGCGGTGTCTTGGGCTCGCATTAGCAGAGCGGCCGCTGCTCGCGGCCCCACTGCTGCTCGCTGCCCGACCGCTGCTCGCGGCCCGACCGCTGCTGCCCAAATCGCAGCCGATCGCCCCGTCGCCTTGGCCCGGCGCCGCGGCCCCACCTGGTTCGCCCGGCGCGTCCCCGGCATCTGCGATGCAGCGGCGCTTGAAGCCGCGGTCGTCCGCGGCCCTCAGGATGGCGTCGTCCTCGCGCCCGCCGCACAGCTCCAGCGCGCGGCGCGCGGCGCGCTCTGACAGTTCCGGCGCCGTCGCCCGCAGCTCCCGCACCTGCCGTGCCCGGCCGGCGGGGGCGCAGCGGGTCGTCAGGGCGCGGCTGGCGAGCGCAGAAGGGGCCGGGCAGGAAGGTGGTTCGGGGGCCCGCTGTGTTGCTGGGCGGCGGCGCCGCGCGCACCTTTCGCGCCTCCTCGCGCCGCTCGTACTCTTTGAGCAGCAACCGCTGGTTCTGGACCTGCGGATGCGCATGTTGAGGGACGTGAGGGTGGGCGTGAGGGGCAAGCAACGACGGTTGCTGCGAGGAGGGGGGCGGCGTTGTGACCGGCGGTGCGTCGTTGTGAGTGGCTTTCCGTTCGAGCGCACCCGCAGCCGGATGATCTCCTCCTCCTCGGGGGTAAGGCTGCGCTCGCTCAGTTGCTCAAAGAGGTTGTTAAATCTGCGAAGGAGTTTCTCACGTATCATGCTGCACCGGAGAAAAGGGTCTGGGTGCGTCAGCCGTCTCATTCCTTACCTCTTTCTCTGCACTTCGCGATCCGCAGCCACGAACATGTCCGACAGTCCCATATCTGCGTCATTGCGCCATCCTCTCTCGGCGACGTCCGCTGCCATCCTCTCTGCCCTGGTTGAGGCCCAAAAAAGCAAGCAGATCGCCACTACGGCAGTGTTGATAGCTTGAAAATAGTTGAGGTTAAATCTTGTGCTGTATGTTTGTTAGCATGACTCTACAATCTTAAGGCAAGGGCAAGGGCTGGGTGGTCAGGACACGAGGGAGGGATGCAACCCTGCAGGCGGTGATGACTTTTTGTATCGGAGTCAAGCAGTGGAGTCAAGTGCTCAATGCATGTTTCGGGTCCTGGCAGCTCAGCCACTCCTCTGCTACCACAGTTACTTGGATTCAGGCTTGCCACTTTACAGAATTGTGCACTGTGAGGGACGCAAGTGCACTGCAGCGTGCCGTTCCCGCCGCCGCCACGCACCCACCAAATCATTTAATTGGAGTATGTGAAAGTTCCATTGCCCGGCAGAGGCCACCAATTTTTAAGCAAGTGTTTGAGGGGTGTACACCAGGTTCGTTTGTGCCTGCCCGCTGAACACAGCAAGGTGACTTGCTGCGCCCACAGTGACAGGCTCCAGATTCGTGCGGCGGAGCTCGCACAGTCGTCTGCAGAAGAGCACTTAGCATCTGAGCCGCACGTGCTCTGCCAGCCATTCCACAAGTGCATGTCACCACAATGGACAACATTTTTGTACTGATGCAATGGCGTCCAGCAGAGCGGGGGCCAATGCCCCTGGCTCAGCGACGGCCTGCGGCGGCCGGGGCGGCAGCAGCGGGCGCCTTGGCGGCGGCCGCGGCGGGCGCCTTGGCCGCAGCGGCGGGCGCCTTGGCATCAGCAGCGGGGGCCTTGGCATCAGCGGCGTCGGGCTCCTCGTCATCGTCGGCGGCAGGAGCCTTGGCGGCGGCGGCGGCGGGCGCCTTGGCAGCGGCGGGCGCCTTGGCATCGGCGGCGGGCGCCTTGGCATCGGCGGCGGGCGCCTTGGCATCGGCGGCGGGCGCCTTGGCGTCGGCGGCGGGGGCCTTGGCATCGGCGGCGGGCGCCTTGGCATCGGCGGCAGGCGCCTTGTCGGTAGCGGCCGGCGCCTTGGCATCGCCGGCGGGCGCCTTGTCGGCAGCGGCCGTCGCCTTGGCATCGGCGGCGGGGGCCTTGTCAGCAGCGGCCGGGGCCTTGGCAGCGGCGGCGGGCGCCTTGGCGTCGGCGGCGGGCGCCTTGTCGGCAGCGGCGGCGGGCGCCTTGGCGGCAGCCGCCGGCGCCTGGACGGGAGGGTGGAGGGAAGGATGCAGCATACGCAGGTCAGGAAGATACAAGAACCTTTCCCCCAGCACAGGCCGGGCGCTCGAGTATGCCAGCTCTGGCATAGGAGAGACATTGTCACGCGGCCACAGCGAATGGCCAACAGGTCAAGATCAGGTCAAACCTCAGGTCAAATCTCACCTTGGTCAGGATGATCTTGCTGGAGAGGTCGATGGGCTTCGGCTTCGGGGCGGGCGTGACAGTGATCTTGACGGGCGCGGGCGCCACGAACGTCGGCGCGGTCACCTTGACAGTGGTCTGGCCCGCGGCAGCAGCCTTGGTGCTGTTGCCTGCCTTGGGTGCCACCTTGCCGATCTGGATGGCGCCGCCGCGGAAGCCGCCGCCGCCGGCGGTGATGGAGACGGTCTGGCCGACCGGGAGGAAGGACTCACCCAGCAGGTCGCGGCGGGCCTCGGCAGGCCTGCACGAGGTCGTGAGCAGGAAGGACATGGTGGGCATGGGGGTTGCGGCTTTGAGCTGCCATCCAGGTGCGCAGGCAGAGGGCAATCAGGTGGTTATGAGCGAATGCTAATGGGGCATCTGCAGGGGGCAGGGCGGCTGGCTAGCACGCCTCAGGCTTACCCCGCCACCATGACGCAGGCAACAGCCACCATAAGCACTTTCAGGGACGCTGCCTTCATTGTTGCAGGGGTCTCAGGACGATGGCTTGCACGGGTAGTTCCCAACTGGACGCAACTCCCAAACGGGCTTGCAGGGGGTTTGTAGTGCCGACAGGTCAACGCGTAAGGGAAGTGCGCGTGATGTTGAAAGTGGTCGACGAAGTTCAACAAGTTTTGCTCCGTGTTGGAGGAGTGTCACCCGTCTGTCGCAGTGACCAATGATCCAACGCGATGCCCCCCCGGGGGTGCCGCGCGGCTGGGATCACGGTATCACCTGCGGAATCCAGATCCCAAAACGATTTCAAAAGCCGAAAAGGCTCCGCTTTCTGGGCCTCTTTCGTACTGTGGCGGGCGGGACGCTCCAACCCATGCATGGTGTCACTGCGATGCTCTTTGTGCCCTCACTGTGCAGTACCGTAGCACTGCAGGCTGAGAGCTCACCATGTTGCGCAGGCTACCTTGCATCATCGAAACTCCTTGTGTGAGTCGGATTCCATACTTGAATTGATCAAGCAGGTGTTTGATTGTGGTTAGTGGTACACGCCACACTGCCCTCAACTTGCTTCCCATGGCACCATGACTTTTCTGCTTCTCCCCAAATCACGGGACAGGAACTGACTTACATACGTAAGGATCTCACAAGGGTGCACTGCAAAACAGTAATACCATCATGGGTGGCGTGACCCTTGACTCCACAGCACCTCCTGAGACAAATGTGATTTGGAGCGCCCGACTGTCGATTATACACTCTGGATTGCTAGTGATTCAGGGGACAGAAGGTTTGTGGGGCCCAGGCCGGCCTTACCTGGCTGTGTGATGTGCATGCGCTCAGTGCTGTCGCTGCCGTTGCCTCCCCTGAACTAATCATATGCATATGGGGTGCGCCGGAGGTGCATGCGGATGCAAGACCTGTTTGCAGGATGGTGCAGGAGTACTTGCCGGGTGCCGCGGGGTCGCAGCGACGCCAGCGGCTGCGGCTGTCATCATTTGTGCGCACGTCAGGGGCCCTGCACGCCCGTCACGGGGGTCTGCGTGGGTCCTATATCGATTGAGTCGGGCACACCAAAGGAGAAAAGCGACCCCATCCAGGTCGCTGGCACAAGGCCCTGGCTTGCAGCGCCGTCAGGAAGGCGGTAGCCGGCGGGGGCAGGCACGGCGCCGGGGCCGATCTGGAGCGCCGTCTGGCGAGGGGCGCCCGTGTTGTAGGTGGCCAGCGCCACCCCAGGCAGCAACGGCCTGCAGGGTCGGACCGGGGAGCAGCAGGTGGGGGGGCCCCTTGGACACCTCACCGCGGGACACAGGGCCAGCGCAGCTGCGTTGAAAAATGTGAGCCAGGTTCTCGGCAGTGCAGTGCTGCTGCTGACAATGGCTAGGCCGGTGAGGGCGGCCCCCCTTGCGTGACCGCACCTGGCATCTGTGCATACAAGCAGAGCCACCAGACACAGAGCTATCGTCTTGAGCGTCATCTCGTGGCGACGGGAAGGCGTCTGCAGGCCCAAACAGCAAGGATCCAGTCTGGACAAAGGAGCTTCCCGCGCGCTGGACACAAACGAGCAGCGTCCGAAAAATGCAACGATAAAAGTGAGGATTACAGGAAAGCTCGATGACTTGCAATATGGTTTTGGTAGCGAAACACCCGCTTGTCACCCGCGCGTGCTCTGCTGCCCGTCCCGTGGGTAATGGGGGTTCGTCGTGTCCTCCGGGGTTGAGAAGGATGATACTATGAAAACTAGAGAAGGATGATATTATGAAAACTAGATCCTTCATCTAGCCCTGCTTCGCTTTCGGGCTGGCGCGCGGCACGCGGATGGTCCGTCGGTTGATGCAGCAGTGACGTCACCAGCTGCCACTACTTGGAGGCACAAGCAGTGCAGCCCCTCAGTATAGCGCTCGAGACGCAGCTGACAAGGCAGGATGCTTTATATATCTTGTTTCCATGTGTATGTCGCCATTTGTATGCCGGCAGGCGGTGCCCGCACAACACTGTCTGCCAGCTAGCATGACAGCAAAAAAACAACCCGTACCGCCCGCCTGCAGCCTGCTTGGTTGCTGGCTGGCCCCCCTCACATCCACCTGCACGCCCTGTGGGCGAACCAGGCTGGATCCCGTTGCAAACGCTTCACTTTTGCCAACAATTTGTTGCTGAAATTCAAGCAGCTGCATACCTGGCAGAATGCATGTGTGAATTTCGGCCCAACCACGTCATGGAGGGTTGGTGAAACAGTTGAATCAGCGTGATGCTGTCGGTTGCCGCCCCAATACCGAAAGTGAAGCCTTGTAAATGCACCTGAGAGTTAATTAGAGGATGGGAGAATCACCACCTCTAGACACCAAAAGAGCATCATCCCTCTGCTATCCCTCCCAGCGCGCGAAGCTCGCGTCGCCCCCCGCGCCCGGCGTGCCGCCGCGCAGCTGCTGCGGCCGCCCCACCGCGCGGGCCGCCGCGCCGCCCGGCCAGTCCCCGCTCGTGCTCAGGGACGCATCTCCATTGAAGTCATCATCAAAATCCGCCAGGGCCTTCTCGCCGGGGCTGGGTGCGGCGGCGGGCGCCGCTGCGGCTGGGCCCACCATGCGCGCCGGCGGCCTCGCGGCCGTGCCAAGCAACTGAGCCCCCAGCCCAGCCGGCTCGTCGCTGTGGGCTCCTGCTGGCAGGTTAAATGGAGCCGTGGTTGGGCGATGCTGAGCCAGGTGGCAAGGGCTGAGACTGGGTGCGTGGCGCTGGCGCGTTCAACGTGCGTGGCGCTGGCCCTGGCGCGTTCAAATCGATCGGTTTGAGCGACGTGTGGTTGACGCCGATGGCCCGCTGCCTGTTTGTTTGGCACACATGCATCGCCCAACTGGGCCTTCTCAGCGCCTTGGCATGGCACTCTGGCAGCCAATAATAGACATGCACGAGAATCGATCAGTTAAGAACACCTGTCTCGTTCCTGGGTGCGAATCGGCTGGGCGCGTGCGCCGCCGCAGCCCCCTGCGGACCGCCAGCCCCCGCCGCAGAGGCGCCGCCGCCGCCGCTGCGCATCTGCTGCTGCATCTGGTGCACAAACTGCTGCTGCCGCTCCTGCTGCGCCGGACCTGAGAGGCTCGGCGCGCGCCGCGCCATCGCCGCGCGCAGCGGCGACAGCGACTCCTCATCTCCCGGCGCCAGGGCCGCCCTCGGGCTGACGGGCGCCTGGTGTTGCGGCCTCCCCGCGCCGTCGAGCTGCAGCGCGCGCCTGGCCCCGGCCCCGCCATTACCTCGGACCGCCCCCTCATCATCGCTGTCGACCTCGGACCCGAGGTAGCGCGAGGCCGCGGGCGACCCAAGCCCCGAGGCGCTCGCTTCCCTGCATTATCATTGGTGGGGGGGCCTCATTCCTCAGTTGCCTGGAAGGAAGCCGCCAGTGGGTGGTGTGGTGTCATTCACAGCTGTCCAGCTGGCTGCCACCGACCACCCAGAACTTGGCCAGGTTCGAGGGCTGAACCACCTCAAACGCGTTTTGCTGCAGCAAGGCGTGCATACGGCCCGACGCCTTATGCCGGTGTTGCGCCCTGGCACGCCCCGCCCGCAGGTGGATCAGCGGCGCTTCCATGCACCTGCAAACTCCCTGACGGTCTCGCATGCAAGCCCATCAGCCAAGCAAAAACCCACAAGGGGGCTGAGGTGGTGGTGGGAGTTATCAGCACCCTCACCTGACCTTGCCGCCCTGCGGAAGACCAGCAGGCACCCGCACTGGCGCGAGCCCCTCCCCACCGCCCACCGCCACCGCCGCCGCCACGGGCGCCGGCGCCGCCGGCGGCGCCGCCGCGGACACGAGCACGGGCGGGGAGGCAGGGGCCGCCCCGCCGGCGGCGGCCTGGGCGGCCTTGAGGGCGTTGTATGCGTGGAGCGCAAGCGCCAGGCGCAGCACCTCCGCGTCGTCCTGCCGTTCCGGCGGCAGCAGCTGCGCGGCCTCCGCGCGGCGCGACCTGCGTGCCGGGAACGAAAAGTGCACGCTTCCTTGGACTTGCGGGGACATCAGCATCGGCTGGGCCGCGGTCGATCGATTGGCCAATCCACAGGTGCCAGCTCGTCGCTCCCGCGCGACAAACGAACTCCCTCGCCGCGGTGCCCAACAGCCCCTCTGGTCCACCGCCCGTGGGAACCGCCCGGGCCCCAGCGAGTCCAGCATCAGGAATTATCTGCAGCGGGGCTGCCCATCCGCGATCCCTCTGCATCGCGCCAACAAAACACACCAGCGGCCCCACCCACTCGAGCTGCTTCATCGCCGCGAGGAACTCGGCGTCGCTCAGCCCCTGGCGGCCGGGGTGGATGCCGAACGACGCGACGCGCCTGTCCAGCTCCCGGTTCAGGTCCGCCAGGGCAGAGGGGCGCAGGGCGTCCAGGTCCTGAGGGGCGGGCGGGGGGTTTCAGGGTTCAATGAGGGAGCCCAAAGGCTGGTTTGGGCCGTCTGCAGGGAGGTGCGGGGGGATACTGTAATCAGCGTGCGCGTGCACACGCACACACCAATATTTCCTCAAACGGCAGCCACCGCCGAACACGTTTGATAACGCAAACAACCCCGCAACTGACCGCCCGGCCCAGCGCGCCCCATCCCCGCCACCCCTGCGGCCCCGCCGCACCTGCGCAGCCACGGAATGTGCGGCCAGCACCCCGGGGCGCCCAGGGACCTCTGTCGGCAGCAGCGCCCTGAAGGACGCCTCCTCCTCTGGGCTGAGGGTGAACGGCTTGTCCCAGTCGTCCGCATACTCCCCCTGGGCGCGTAATCGCGCGGTACGGATGACGCGGGGGGGGGGGGGCAAGGAGGGCGGAAGCCCCGCGGTTGTGAGCGAGATAGCGAAAAAGCGGGGGCTGAAGGGGCAGAGGTGACGCCGGGTGCAGCGGCCGCCCTGCTTCTTGCTGGAAAGCGCACCAGGGGGGGGGGGCAATCCACACCCGGCACCGCGCTCTGAGTGCAACACAAGGGTGTGAACATTTTGTTGCGCTCAACCCATGCACCGAGCCGCCGCAATCATGGTTACCAGATGACATCATCCCGCCCACCTGCAGGCGCGAAAGGTCATCTGGGGGCGCAGCCGCCAGCTCAGCCGCCATCGCCCTCAGCGCCGCAGCCGCCTCTGGCGGGATCCTGCCGCCGACTACGCTGCCCCCCGCGCTGCTGCGCACGCCAAAGCTCGGCTCGACGCCCGGCTGCATGGGCGACGGCGAACAGGGCGGCGGCGGCGCCGCCGCCGCCTGTGGCTGCGGCTGGGTGGGGCTGGGTGGCGGCGGCTGCAGGGGCTGCGCATCGTCGGCTGCCGCTGCTGCGGGGCTGCCGTGTGCCACCTGAAGGACTGTGGCAGGGATGGCAGCTGGGGTTTCAGACGGCCCGTCATCAGCTGAACCGCCCGCCGCCGCTGCCGCCTTTGCTCCCGGCGCAGCGTCCGCCCCCGCCGCGGTTGGCGGCGCTGCCACGGCGGCCGGGGTGCCAGGCTGCGCAGCGGGTTCAACTGCAATTGGCGCTCCGCCGCCGCCGCCCTCGTCATCCGCGGCCCCCCACCCCTCGTGCCCGACCGCCGACGCGCCAAGCCTTTCGCCGCCGCAGCCACCGCTGCCGCCGCCCGCGCCCTTGACGGTCTGCCCCCGGGCCTCCTGCAGCGCCCGACTCTCGCGCGCCAGGTCAGCGGCGGCCTCGTCCCTCTGGTTCATGACGTCATTCAGCCGCGCCGCCGCGCGCGCCGCCGCCGCGTGCGCTAGCTCTAGCTGGTGCTGCAGCGCCCGCCGCTCGTCGGGCCACGCCGCCTGCTGCTGCGGCGGCGCCGCCGCCGCCGCCGTCCCCGCGGCCGCACCGCCGCCCTCGCCGCCGGCCCCGCAGAGCGCGTCCCTGAGCCCCTCCTCCGCGCGCCGCCGC